CTTCTATAAAGAAATTCTTCATCAGTTATTCTATGTCACTCAAAACACTGTCTAGTATTTCTGGTAGTCCATCAAGTTCAGCCTTTGAAACCCATCCATCAAAGCTGTTGATCCAAATAAAAGCTATTTCCAATTGTCACAATAAAGGAAAAAAAAATCCCCCTTGACTCAATAATGGCAATCAGATTTCACCTTGGATCAACCACCAGTTCACATACATATTAATAATATAACTGAATATTCTGTTTTTGCAAAAAACATTCAAGCCTTTTTTAATATTTATAGAATCTGATAAGACAAACTTTTTGGGTAGAGAATAGCATGTCTATTTTGTTTCTTTTCCAGTATTTGCTTCATGTAAACAAATATAGTTCTATGCTATTTGTTTACAAAGAGTAAATTCTGGCATATTTACCTCTATTCGTAAATAGTATTTAGCTCATATCTGTTGTTAGGAAAGAGTGGTATCCGCATCAAGCTGACTACAACCACATCAATGCAAATAACCCACTGGTCAGGACACCAAAGTTTGTGCACAACCACAAACATAAGCAATGGTGCAAGATATAAATGATCAATAAAAAAGGGCTACTGAACTGGTTCATGGATTGCAGGATAAAACTTACCAGGAAAGATAAAAGGATCTTAACATGTATAGTTTGGAGGAAAGATGAGACAGGGGGATATGATAGAAACATTTAAATACATAAAGGGAATCAACACAGTAAAGGAGGAGACTATATTTAAAAGAAGAAAAACTACCACAACAAGATGACATAGTCTTAAATTAGGGTGGCAAAGGTTAAAAAATAATACCAGGAAGTATTACTTTACAGAGAGGGTAGTTGACGCATGGAATAGCCTTCCAGCTGAAGTGGTAGAGGTTAACACAGTGAGGGAGTTAAAGCATGGGTGGGATAGGAATAAGGCTATCCTAGACTTAAGATAAGGGACTAATTGAAAATGTATTTTCAAAAATTGGGCAGACTAGATGGGCCAAATGGTTCTTATCTGCCATCACATTCTATGTAGCTAGATGATATCACTCTCAGCCTGTATAAGGCTGCAGACAGTGTTTTCACATTCCTTCAACCATATTGATGTTATAAAAGGACACCATTCAGTCTGCACTTAAAACTGAAGGAGGAAAGAAGAGTAATTATTATTAATAATACATTGGAACAATTTTTACAGCACCAGCAGATTCTACAGCTCTGCCTCTGCACCACATAATAGGCTTACAGACAAGTTAAAGTTTAACAGATTATTATACTTTATCATAACATATACATATTCACATACTGGTTCAAAGGGACAGAAAGCCCTGCTTTTATGAGTTTTTAGTTTAGCATTGCTCACACACTCATGGCATGGAGGGTTAATAAAAAAAATCATTCTGTTTTTATGCAAGATATAAATAAATAAATAAGGGGGTCAGTTGCACCATATGGCCATATAATGTTTAGACCACCACTACTCCACAATTTTATTTGTGTGCTGAGATAGGTGATTTTAAGTAGCTTTTAAAATTTAAAACTGTATTCCTTAATCTACATTTTGTAAAAAATATTGTCCTCTATGGCAGCACCGATGCTGCGAAATGCATGTTCCTGGCAGGGCTAGAGTCCTGCAGGAACGCGTGGGAACAGCGTTCCTGCACTTTTTTCACAGCAGGAACACCGTTCCCCCTGCAGACACTAACCAAGGGGCATCAAAAAACGCCAGCCCCAACTGCCCCCGTGTTCTCCCTGTCATGGAGGAGCCACCTAAAGGACCCCGCGGTAGGTGCCTATCTACCCATCTGACGCTGTTCTCCCAGCTCTGCTCCCTCGCACGCCGTTTGCTGATGCCGGGAGCCGGAATATTATGTCATATTCCGGCTCCCGGTATCGGTAGACAGCCCATGAGGGAGCAGAGCTGGGAGAACAGCCGCCTGTCTCACTGCAGCCCCACTGGACCCCAGGGACCCATCCATGCCAGCTTTCCCAAAAGGTAGGGAGGCTGGGTGTTAATTTTAATATTAATAATTTGTATTTATGTCTGTTTGTGTATATGTATGTCTCTTAGTGTGTGTGTGTGTTTGTATGTATGGTTAGTGTATATGTGTGTGTGTATTTTTCACATAGGGCGCCTAAAGGCCTAAGGCTGCCCCTGGTTGCCATGACTGCAGCTTTTGCAAGACCTTCCCTTTTTCCCTGGAACTAAGCAGAGGCCTCTTATTGACATGCGGAGGAACAGCCTCTGGGTCTGCCCCTCAATGCGCACATATGCACTGCAACAGCATTAAGAACACTGTTCTAAGATCTGTGAGGAAGAATGGGGAAGAAGGCAGGCACGCTCAAGCAGCAAGCTAAAGGATGGAGGAAGAAAACTTCCCTGGCTGTCTGACTGACAACCTGTAAAATCTATAAAAAATTCTCATAGACTTATAAACTGGAATTAAAATAGGATATTACTCTCCCATAAACCACACAAGCAAGATGAAGTGCTATATGGGTGTGGACTAGTCCTTTAATTTTGATTGTGGTTTAACACTCCATCTCTGTCTGTCTCAGCATCATGAACTCTCCAGAGCCAAGGACAGATTCCCATTCCCCCTCCACTGTGAGTGTGTTGTCTTCCCCTTAGTCTGGCATAAAAAAGACAAAAAGGAAATTGTAGGCACACCGGGAACCAGGGGTCAATTCCTGGGGGAAAAGTGTGGGAACTCACCTAAGATCCACTCCCCCCCAAAAACAAAAAATACACTTGTATGCATATATAAACGTGTGCACACACACTGACAGTTGCACACAGACGCACACACACACATTCAGACACACACATACACTCACAGACACACATACACTCACAGACGCACAGACGTACTCAGACACTCACACAGTGGTGTATTTTAATTTTTTGCTGCCCTAGGCATAACTAAATCTGAGCACCCCCCTAATCTAAATTTACTACCCCTTCCTGTCAAGGGTGCATCTCTTCCTGATTAAGAACCCACCCCTTCCTCTTTAGACTCCACCTTTTCCTGTTCCTTTTAAAGAAATACTATAGTGCCAGGAAAACAAAGCTGTTTTCCTGGCACTATAATTCCCTACAGTGCCCCCCTCCCTCATGTCCTCACCATCCCCACTCAACACTAAAGGGGTTAAAATCCTATGGGTATTTAGCAGATGCTGGATGTCATCATGCGCAGTGTAACGACGTCAGTTAGGCGCCTTTTGTCACCCAACCACCCTAAAGTCCCTCTAGTGGGACATCCACTAGAGGTGGAGTTACCCCTCAACGTAATTATTGCAGTTTCTGAGAAACTGCAATAATTCCATTTGCAGGTTTAAGGGGACTGGGACACTGCACCCAGACCATTAAATGAGCTGAAGTTGTCTGAGTGCCTATAGTGTCCCTTTAAGCACACTCTCTGACAGACACACACATTTACTGACACACACTGGCAAATACACACTGACAGTAACACACACTCTCAATGACAAACACACTGACGTCACTGATTTGACACACACATTCACTGAGACACACTCATTCATTGACACAAACACACTGACAGACACAAACTAATAGTCACACACACTAAATGACAAACATACTCTCACTGATTTGGCAGACACTTACAAACATACATATGCATACACTAACAGAAGCACATACACACAAACATACATATGCATACACTAACAGAAGCACATACACGTACATATGCTAACAGATGTAAATACACTCATACACACACACACACATACACTAACAGACATACATATACACATACACTAACAGACATACACACAGGTGAAAAGGATAGCAGCTCGACACACATGTAAAAACACCCTAAAATTTACACAAAGTATAGTACAAAAAATGATAACCCAGGTGGAACCAACCACTAAAGGTATCTCTCAGTGGAGCGCTAGAGAAAGCAAACTTACCCCTATATATATTGGGGAAGTGCACAGCAGTACGATTCCTATATAGTAAAGAAATGTATAAAATAGTGAAGTATGTCAAGCTCCAGTGGTATACACAAGGAAATAATAGGGACCACACTCACATGGTTTAGAGCCTCGTATGGATAGGCTCAAATCACTCTGACGTTGGTATATCAGGTAATACCCAGACCTTCTTGCAGTAACTGGTCAATATTCTCACCAATGGAAAAAACAAGAGAGAGCTTCCTTGTGTAGTATAGCCAGAAAATACTACTACAACAACACATATAATATAAATTAATTGCTCACCTTGCAAGGAGCCAACTATACTAAGCTCTTGGTGTTAGAATGTATGTGCTAATTAGGAGAGCACAACCCTTCTTGAATGCAGGAAACAGCAGAGGACTAGAAAATATTGGTATACTAAAATAACATATTTATTAAAACAATAAACATTCAAATAATTAAAATATACAGTAATACCAGTCCACCAATATAGTCCGCTTTCGAGGCGCGTTTCGCTGGTATGGCTTTATCGATCGGGATGCTCGTTTCCTGTGTAGATCCAAAATTTTAATCCATAAGTCCTTCACGGATTGGCCGATGTCATTCTTTAAACTCCAATCATAAACTTGACATGCAGGGGTGTGGGGTAATCAGCTGAAGCCGCTGAAGTGTTTGATTCCGAAACCGGAAGTGACACGACGGACCAATACGTCACATCACTTCCGGTCCCTCCGGTCCCAGCATATGATTACTTGCATTCCCATTTCGGCCATAACACTCATGGGCAACTGCCAGCCCTCATCAGTCCACCATAAAAGTCCCATATATATGGAATGAAGCGAAAAAAGGAAGAAGATAAAATACCAAATATTAGGAACCATATATTAGGAAAATATAACCATATTACAGAATTAATCAATATGTACTTATGGAGTATAACTCATGCTGGTATATTGTCACACATATACACAAAACAAACAATAATATAATTGCATACATAAAACATGTTAAAAATAGCCTAACTTATATAAAAAAACCTCACTTATATAAAATCCCCAATGTTTACTTAAACATAAATATCATAAAAAATTCAATCTAAAATACTGCTTAATAGTTAAAAAGGATAAAAACTATATGTAAAAACAGGCTTAATAATTAAAGAAAGTGACGGAGCTCGAAGTCACTGTTAACATTGACATCGACCTTTTTAAAGTGCGTGCTGGTTTTGATGGTATTATTCTCTATATAAATATTCAAGTCAAGAAAATTAACCAGACAATTACTAAAAGTGCTTGTTAGTCTGATGCCCCAATCGTTGTCCTCAATATGGGCTAAAAAGACCATGAGAGATAACTCATCTCCCCTCCAGATAAAAAAGATCTTGTCAATGTAACGACGATAGGTCACCAAGTTCGCATCCCACCTGTGTGAATCAAAGATATGTCTTTGTTCCCATCGTGACATAAACAGGTTAGCGTAACTGGGCATGAACCTGGTGCCCATATCCGTTCCACAAATCTGAAGGTAAAAAGTGCCGTGGTGCCAAAAAAAGTTATTATTTAAAGTCCATGAAATACCCTCCAATAGAAGGGTTGAGGTTCCTTAAGGGTCCTTCTTTTGACCAGGAAGAAGAAGGCTTTATTAAGAAATGGGAAGATATGTTAGAAGGTTTTTCTTTTGGGTTGATGGGATTGATCATACGGAGACATAAGAATACACTGATTACATTAGATACAAAATTAATGAACTTCAGAACTTTTTAATCAGTAATACGTCTCCTGATGAATATCAATGAATAACTGAGGAGATTAAACATAATCTAGATAAAATGGAGAAAGGAGTTATAGAGATAAAAAAGAGGAAATACTTGAGAGATGTGGGGATATTTATGGGATAATAATAGTAAACAGTGAGAATTGCCCACTAATTCAATTCTCAGATCCCAAAGATCGTTATCGTGTTAAGTGTAAAGTATTTCATATAATAAAATCACAATGTTTGTTATAAAAATAGATTTATTTTATAATAACAATTAATTAATAATAATAATAATAATAATATGTAACATGCATGACAATAATCAATGAATATCCAGTATAAAATGGTATGCAATACAATGGAATGGCTATACACGTTTTAATGGCTAAACAGCATTTTCTATCAAGACACACGATTTATGACTATCTTTCACAGAGAGAAAGCGAAGCTTTTCACAGCGAAGGGCCCTAAAACCCCGACTAACAGTTAGAATAACTCTTTCAATGCTGGCTAGACCTCCTAGGTAATTAAGATCTATTCTTATGTAATTTTAAATAAAATAACATTTAAACCAGTTCATTAGTCATTTCCTGGAACCATCCAATAAGAGAATCTACCATATTATATAAGCAGATTTTAATTTGTCTAAAAGATATTTTATCTTAAATTAGAGCAAATCAATACACCTGGATAAAAACAGCGGTATGCTACCACGTGATAAAATCACATTAATATATAATTATTCTTAATTCCACCTGCAGAATGGAATGTTTATAACTATATATTCTTTAGTTAACTAAGATTTCTAAATATGGAAATCTGACCGTGATTTATCCAGTCATATATCATGCTATTAGTACATTTTAATTTAATTAATTAAATGAAACCAGTATAATTACCAGTTGAGTAGATATTTCATCTGATTGGTAGTCTCAGGAACTTGTTTGGATGTCTCTCTGCATGGAGGTGTGTAGGAATTTCTGAGTGTCCTAGAGTGTCATTGCTCCCCGCTGCTCACTTCTTTGCTTTCTTTGCATACCCTTCTTTTTTTCTTTCTCCTTTGCATACCCTCTATCTTCCCTTTGTCCTAACTTTTAAAGGGCCAGACTCTCTGTACGTCATTAGTTGATGACCCAATAGAAGCACTAGAGGTGTGCTTACCTAGGGATCGCAATTTAGGTATTTGGTCTATAGTTAACTTTTCCTGGTGGCTATTTTGACGTCATTTTGGCCTATCTTTATAGTAGCCATAACTTACGTTTCCTTTCACTTCAAAGGGTTTCTTTAAGTTTTGTCCAGACTATGTGTCTGGCAAATTCTGAGTTTTGACCCGTAACTTACAATGGGACCTTGTACATATAGAAAGTAAAATTTTATTATTTAATCTCCTCTGTCACAAATGTCTGGGTTTAGATATGCATCTATTCCATTAACATTTTAGACAGTCTGTCCAACCCCCGTTCTCCTTATCACTTGGTTTGTATATACTATGCATTCCTTTGTATTCCTTTATATACTATGACTCAGAATATACACTTTTAATTTCTATCATAGCACAAGATGTCTGCCGATATAAATACCCTGACAGAGATAAGGAGGTTTATGCGAATAGACGCATATTTACATATTCCAAGAGACATCATAATACCCCTAAGAAAGTCTCAAGACATGGCCATATTAGTAGATCCAATTCTAATGTATATTCTATGAAAACCAATCAATCGGAATCTAAACAGGTACTATCTACACCCTCATATAGGCGGTATGATCACCGACAGTCCAGAATCCGTAGGGACACAAACGGATCTACATACAACAGATCTCCCGTTAGATTTAGGAACAAGCAAGTTCTTTTTAATAGGAATATATACACACCGGAAAGGGCTGCTAGAAAGAAGGGATCTGCATATAGGAATAGATCACCTAATCAAGAGCGGCAATCTACACGTACATACACACCAAGGGAGAGACACCCTCGTCCCTCATATAGACAACCAGTTAGACATACATTTTCATGAAGAGGGTCACCCACATATGATACAGGTGATTTTGGGTATGGACATAATAGATTCTCACCCCTTATATATATATATATCTGACCAACAGGATTTTTGGAGTATGCAGAACAAGGAAAGGCACAAGGTTCCTCGACCACCTCACAGGTCACCTACCAAAAGAGAGAGGACTATAGAGGAAGGGGAAATCTTCCTCTATAGATCTTTTATACAAAAGAGGAAAAAAAGAAAGGATATAAAAACCAGTGGAATCTTCAATTTTACAGGACAAACCGGAGATCATATATAGGGGCGTTCCGAATTTAAGAAATAGTCTAATACAAAATCAGTTAGTTAATAACAAGGATACTCAATGTGTATTTAAAGAGCCAAAAGGTTTTTATAGGTGTGGGATGTGCGGAGCCTGCAAAAACACTAAAAGTGTAAAGAGACATATAAAGGAGTTTACACATCCGAAAGATAGTAATAAGAACGTCCCTATAAATGAGATTATTACGTGCCACACAAAACATGTGATCTATGTGATCACATGTACATGTAAACTATCATATGTGGGACGTACCACTAGACCACTGAAAGTTCGAATTCAAGAGCACATCTGCAATATTGTTATTATTATAATGGTATTATTAAACATAGTTTGTCCCTACACCTCAAATTAAAACATAATAGCGACCCTAGTTTTATGCAGTTCTTAGGTATTCAAAAAGTTAATTTTAATTGGAGAGGGGATGACACTATCAGAAAGATGGGTCAGTCTGAAATGAAGTGGATTTTTAATTTAGATACACTTCAACCAAATGGTCTTAACAGTGACTTCGAGCTCTGTCACTTTCTTTAATTATTAAGCCTGTTTTTACATATAGTTTTTATCCTTTTTTAACTATTAAGCAGTATTTTAGATTGAATTTTTTTATATTTATGTTTAAGTAAACATTGGGGATTTTATATAAGTTAGGCTATTTTTAATTTTTTATGTATGCAATTATATTATTGTTTGTTTTGTGTATATGTGTGACAATATACCAGCATGAGTTATACTCCATAAGTACATATTGATTAATACTGTGATATGGTTATATTTTCCTAATATATGGTTTCTAATATTTGGTATTTTATCTTCTTCCTTTTTTCGCTTCATTCCATATATATGGGACTTTTATGACGGACTGATGAGGGCTGGCAGTTGCCCATGAGTGTTATGGCCAAAATGGGAATGCAAGTAATCATATGCTGGGACTGGAGGGACTGGAAGTGACATGACGTATTGGTCCGTCGCGTTACTTAAGGTTTCGGAATCAAACGCTTCAGCTGATTACCCCACACCCCTGCAGGTCACGTTTATGATTGGAGTTTGAAGAATGACACAGTCAATCATTGAAGGACTTATAGATTAAAATTTTGGATCTACACAGGAAACGAGCATCCCGATCGATAAAGCCATACAGGCGAAACGCGTCTCGAAAGCGCACTATATTGGTGGACTGGTATTACTGTATATTTTAATTATTTGAATGTTTATTGTTTTAATAAATATGTTATTTTAGTATACCAATATTTGCTAGTCCTGTGCTGTTTCCTGCATTCAAGAAGGGTTGTGCTCTCCTAATTAGCACATACATACTAACACAAAGAGCCTAGTATAGTTGGCTCCTTGCAAGGTGAGCAATCAATTTATATTATATGTGTGTTTGTAGTAGTATTTTCTGGCTATACTACAGAAGGAAGCTCTCTCTTGTTTTTTCCATTTGGGTGAGAATATTGACCAGTTACTTCAAGAAGGTCTGGGTATTACCTGATATACCAACGTCAGAGTGATTTGAGCCTATCCATACGAGGTTCTAAACCATGTGAGTGTGGTCCCTATTATTTCCTTGTGGATACCACTGGAACTTGACATACTTCACTATTTTATACATTTCTTTACTATATAGGAATCGTACTACTGTACACTTCCCCAATATATATAGGGGTAAGTTTGCTTTCTCTAGTGCTCCACTGAGAGATACCTTTAGTGGTTGGTTCCACCTGGGTTATCATTTTTTTGTAATCACGCATAGTTACATTTGTTCATTATGGAGGAGTGGAAGCAGTGCAGCTTCTGGAGACTGGTTGTTGGGGGAGCAGGAACTCCTTCCTGCTTCCCCTGCAGAAGTTATCCGGCACTTTTAGCTCTGCCCCCGCCGCCAGTTTAACTCCACCTCTGTCACATGGGATGCTCCGCCCCGTCGCTCGGTAAGCTCGGCCCCCGCCGCAATGTTGTTTTTTTGTTTTATAACCCCGGCCGGCCATGTGTGAGCTGTGCTGCTCGCACAACCCTAAGACCAGCCCTGATGGCAGTTATGCCATCATGCAGGCAAAAAACACATGTATGTTTTCATTGGGTGTATATCTACAAAATAGTTTTTCCCCTGCTCTTGCCATTTCAGCTGTGGAGTTTTCCTATGCACAAATTAACACATCCATGCTTCTCTATTCAGACAGAGAGAAGATCATATGGGTACAGAGTGGGAAAAATGACAATTGTCTATTTTGGGTGAAAACACATTGGTTGTGTATCAATTCAAAATAGTGAGATGTTTCTAAAAAAACTGCCAATTAAAGGAGGATAACAACTACAAATGTACACTGTAGAAAGATAAAACATAAAAATACATGTTATACAAAAAATGACAAGTACAATCAAATAAAAAAGAACAAAGATTGAACTCCCTATTCAGACTAATAAGTGAACCAATTTAGAGTTATTTTTCTCTAGTTGCACTAGTTGTGCTAAATGCAAAACACTGATTCCCCCCCCCCCCTATTTTAATATTTTATGTATACTTTTATTGTTTATTATTGTTATAACATAACAAAATTGTTCAATGCAAATATTTTTAAAAGAATAACTCATCTGTCCTTAAAACAAAAATGAAAAAACAAAACAAATACAATATATATAATATGTATCAGTACACTTGAGGGGAAATTATTAAATTACAATGCAATTAATACATAACAAAGGTACCAAAAAGCCTTGGTTACAAAGGGGCGTTTCTCAGCAATGGATGTCTGTCAGGGTTATTTATTACAGTCCTGGTCAACCTAAATGGGGGAGTGCAACCCTATATTTGGAAAGCTTTGTACCATCCTAGAGCCAGTTTAGGAGGCATTTTACAAGATAAGCTCCAAAATATATAATTACCATCTAACCCCCTCCTATGGTTTATTCTGCATTATTGGTTTTCTTGTCTTAGTTCTTATAATTTTGAGCATTCCACGCAAGACTCAAGAAGAGGGAATGTGCTGCCCTTAATCATATCTCATATCCTATGGTACAGCACTGCAGAATTTGATATTATTATAAATAATAATAAATAAAATTCTGTGAGTGTGCCATTTATATCATATTCTCACAATTTCACCACAGTGTTGCACTATCTATATATTCTCTTTTTGTTTCTTTTTTGTGCATGTTGTACCTGTTTGTGACGAACTGAGCTTCGTCACGTGTTCTTGGAGGGGCCTCTTCTAATCCTGTGAATTCATGCCTCTTACCAAAAGACTATGGGCCCTTTAAAAAAACTATGTGAACAGACTTGGTTCGTGGGATTTTATATTTGGTTTGTGAACCAAACAGCTGCAAGAACCAGAGATCAACCTGGAGCTTGTTACGCCTATTGCTACTTTGTAACAATTTCCACCTCAGTATTCTTAGTGTTCATCTGGGTGGGCGCAATTCCTATGGACGACCACGAGGAAGCGGCCATCTTGTTCACATGAATGCAGGCAGCGGTGTTTGGTCGTCAAGTTCATGGAGCTATTTTCAGATACTGAAACTCCCGAACACCGCTGGACTTCTATGATCGCCTGCGTTCGGTTCGACAACACTTAGAAAGACACTGGAAACCTTACACACGAACAAGGGGTACAAGCTCTGGGGTAAGACTATTGACTCTGTTCGGTAGTTTGTTCATTTTTAACCTACCTAACTAGACCGACCGAAGCCCTACCATGAAATTACTTAACCCCTAAACTGATCTGGGTGATTTTTGGATATGTTGCTCACCCATATCAGGGCTATCCGGGGGATGAAACTTTTGTGGGGCTTTTATGTATTTTTATGGTACTTTTGGGGTGTTTGGGGAAAAGTGTGTTTTTTCTGGGGTTGGAGATAATTGGATTAGATTAGTACAGTTCCTGATCCAATTATCTCCCAGGCACAGAGGAGGGATTGTCTGATTATGTATGGGAGTGTCCTGGATCTGTCCTGGATCTGAGAGCCAATGTAATTGTGTATTTGTTTCTACTATGGTTTACTCTCAGGTTCAGGGAGGAGTGCATGGGGACATGCATATAAGCCCAGTTATGGCTGCCATTAAACGAGATTTGTTGTACCCTTCATGAAGTCAAGGCTCATGTTTGGGGGATTGGAGAGCTATATTCACTCTGGAGATTGCTATAATCACTATACTCCCTTGTATTATATCAGAGAGAACGGTAGTGTACCTACACAGTCTGAAATTGAAACCAAAAATTCATGACTTACTGTTAAATCTCAGAAATAACGGACTAATCACTACCAGACATAGTGCTGGGTTAATAAAATCATAAAATAAATACATTGTATTGAAATCACTTATAACAAAAATAATGTGTAATGAATGTGCCTGTGTACAAACGGTTAACATATAATGGGTATGGAAGTCTATACCCTGTTAAAAATACCTAATGGTATTGAAAGATCAATCACAATGTAAGCTAGGGTATTGTCTATGATTGTGTGCAGCAAC